AGCAGCCCGCGAGGCACGGGGCCACCCACGCAGGCACACGCGCAAAGCCCTACCTGATCCAGCTGCTTCTGGATTTTGCTCTGCTGCTCCGTCACCAGCTTCAGCTTCTCCGCATCAGCCTCAGGGAACTCGCGCCCGGCCTTCTTGGCAGTGCGCTGCTTGGCGCAGAGGGCTTTGCGCGACTTGCGGTGCGCCCCAATCTGCTCCTCCAGCACCTTCAGCTGCCTCTGCAGCAGCTGCTGGGTGTGGAAGAGCCACTCCTCGTACTGCCGCTGATCAGCCTCATCTGCGGGACAGCAGAGTGGGCTCAGCTCAGTGGGGGCCCCCTCCCATAGGGCCCAGCCCGTGCCACCCCCTACACTGCTGTCGTGATACTCACTGATGACGCCCTGCGCGAAGGTGGGTGGGTTTGGGCGAGCCTGAGTCGGGTCGGTGCTGCTCCGTTCCTGGCGCAGAGGGAAGCACCGGTGACACATGCCGTGCCATGCCCTGTCCCCAGCGCTCTCCTCTCCCCCTTCCACCACCCCAGAGCACCACAGACCCACTGGTCAGAGCAGCTCCTGCCCTGACAGGGTGCTGAGGACCAAGCCAGGCAGCTCCATGGGGCCCCCCCCATCTCCTCTGCGCCCCGCGAGACCACGCTCACCTGCCCGCCTCCTGCCATCATATGGTTCTGCATCTCAGAGACGGCCGGGGCTCCCGAAAGCCGCTGGGCCAGCAGGGAAACCTGTTGTCTTTGGGGTCAACACAGAGACAAGAGATGAGCTGGGGTCGGGGTGCCCTGCCTGCCCCAGACCATGCCTGCTGCCCGCTGTGCCCCTTACCTGTTCATACCCGGGGCCACGCCAATGCTGCCCTGAGCCATCACCTTCTTGATGCCCTTCAGCGCCACCATCTTCGCCTTGGCAATAGGGTCCATGATGTCCTCAGCGGCAAACTTATCCAGGTCTGCAAGGAGAGAGTCACTCCGGGGTTAATCCCCTGCCTGCCCCAGACCATGCCTGCTGCCCGCTGTGCCCCTTACCTGTTCATACCCGGGGCCACGCCAATGCTGCCCTGAGCCATCACCTTCTTGATGCCCTTCAGCGCCACCATCTTCGCCTTGGCAATAGGGTCCATGATGTCCTCAGCGGCAAACTTATCCAGGTCTGCAAGGAGAGAGTCACTCCGGGGTTAATCCCCATCCGCACTGGGGACGCTGCAGCCCAGCAACATGCCCAGTCACCCGGGCCGGGCTCCAGCCCCACGGCCCCGACCCAAGAGCAGCCTGAACAGCCCTACCCC